CATTTCCATTCTATTTAAAATTGAATTTTAGGTATACTTTATTTACTTTATTTATACTGAAGTCTATGTATATTTAAATCTTATGCAAATTTATTTCTACATTTATTTTTAGATTTATATTTATTTTATTTTATAATATTTTATTTTATTTTATTATATTTTATTTTATTTAATTTTATTTAATTTTATTTTATTTGATTTTATTTTATTTTATTATATTTTATTTTATTTTATTTTATTTTATTTTATTTTATTTTATTTTATTTTATTTATTTATTTTATTTTATTTTATTTTATTTAATTTTATTTAATTTTATTTAATTTTATTTAATTTTATTTAATTTTATTTAATTTTATTTAATTTTATTTTATTTAATTTTATTTTATTTTCTTTTATTTTATTTTATTTTGTTTTATTTACATTTATTTTATTATATTTTATTTTATTTTTTTTTATATTTATTTACTTTATTAGGTAAATATTCCTGTCATTGTATAGATGTTAGTTTTATTGCTATGATTAAGATTTTGAATTGTATGTATCATGAGGGGTTTATTCCATCAACAGATAACGGTTCATAGTAGTATGTATCTATCAAAAAGTGTTAAAATTTAAGTCCGGAGGTTGAGAATTTAAAGACTCTCTGTAGGCTTGGATTTAAATAAGCAAGTAATATGACAAATTTCTCACAATCGAGACCGTGAAAGGTTTGAGAAATTGAAATTCTTGATTCTCATCAAGAATTTTTCGATTTATTGTATTTTTAGTATTGATGATTTTTAATCCTTATTTCTAAAAGCTTTATTACCACATAACATATATAGCATAAAAAAATATTAAATGGTGTATGTGCAATTGATTTTATTTTCAATTGTATAAAAACAAATAAATAAAATTGAATATACTTTTGTATAAAGTTTAATAAAGAGTAAATAAATGAATTAATTCCACATTGTAAATAAAAATTTTATACTCGAATTAAACTTTGCAACTTAATCAATTTTATTTAGAACATTTGAATTCTCAACTCTTTCGTGAAAACATGATAAGCCACTTTAATAATTTTTTATTCAAACCCCACTAAATAATGTATGGAGGATTTTAAGGCACCACATATTTCAATATAAAACCTTCCTCTAATTTATGGTTACATAATTTTTCACTCTTATGCAACAATTAAGCTTATTTTCGCTGCTACACGGGCCAACATTAAAAGTAAAAATTTATGAACCTCATAGCAACCAATAAAATTTTTATAAATGCATGTGTGCCTCCACGCATACAGACACAACATCACGTTCCAATGCCAAATACACTCGATTTAGGAAGAATGTCAAATACGCGTAAATACAACAGTTTAAGGATTTCCGAATCCGAATCCTTAAATCCTTATGTTTGTGCCTAGTGTGTTCTTTCGTGCGTTCTAGGCTGTTGTTCTCCATTTTAACTCTCCCAAAGGCACAATAACGCACAAGTGCATGACATATCAAATATTAACAAATAAAAAGCGACTAAATCACTAATACCAACCGAGCGAGCATAAAGTGCAAACCAAACGTGCCGGAAAAATTGAATTTTTCATTCCCTTGAACGTGAACACACCTGGAAATGGTCTTCTTCGCCTTGCGAATGTGCGAAGAAGATGTGTCTGCCACGCGCTCACTTGCTCAACAGAATCGGTATCGACCTATGGCGGGAGTAGGAACGGTTACGGTTGCCTTAATGCTGGCATTATTTGCATCCAACGAATTTGTTGTTGTTGCAATAATGTTTACATCAATGGCCATGCACGTTTTTTTTATTGTTGCCATAAAATAAAAGTGCCATAGGTGTGGATTTCGTGGGAGCCACTCAGAGGCACATATTGTGCTTTTAATTACAGGTTTTAGCATCCATTCCGTTGGAAATTTAAAATGTTGACTGTTATTAACAACCGAATTGTCTTCATGCTCATTTCTAATGTTTTTATAACGCCGAAAATTATGCTATAATTTTGTACGTTGAAAAATTTTTTCAACATAAGTTAGATTTATTAAACAATTTAATAAGAATTTTTTTTGGGTAAATTATTTGGAATTCCTCTAGCGAAAGACTCGAAAAAATTTTAATAACTAACTTATTTCAAAATAAATATTTTGACTTAAATACAGACACGTTCTTAATTACAATTACTGTAGTCACGTCTGAATTTCATATCTCTTGTGCTTATTTGTGCGACATTCGTGTTTAAGGACTTTTAAGGAGTCCTTAAGTAGTGAAAAATGTCATCTTTTAGTTTTTGTTACATTAGGAAGTCACAATGTGTATTTGCAGTTTATTTAATAGCGAATTTAATTTATATAAATTTGAACTAATTTAATTATAGAAATTTATTTGCACTTAGACTTAGATATGTAATTGACTTAAAAATTATTAAATCAGCTCTAATAAAAATTCATTATAATGAAATATAATAAATTTAAATTTGAATTATTTTTAATAAAGTTTGTATAGAGAGGTTTCGAAAAGTAGTAAACTACAATAGAATTCTTTTTATATTTTTGTTGCAGTTCACTATTTTTCGAAAGCTCTCAACCAAATATGTTAGTTTCTATTAATTATAATAGTCACTTTCGACATAACTGATATTAAATTACAACTTAAATCAAAACTAAAGTTTGTAGAACAACATTAACTGGAAAAAAATTATTATAAATAATTATCTATTATCTATAAACTACATACTACTATGTTTAAGTTCCCTTTATGTTAATAATATAACAGATTTTAAGTGTTTATATGATAATTAATTTATATACATAGGTCCTTTTTATATTAAAATATTTTAATATGTTTGTTTAAAGCAATTAATTTATTAGATAATTCATTAGATGTGCTTCCAAAGGTAAAATTACTTCTCTAGTAGTATCACAACGGGCCTTAGGTCTATGTAAGTCTTAAAACTTTATCTGATTACAATTGCCAATATAATATTAGGAACGCTTCTATACTGTGTGCTTCATTTTTATTTAGTTTTTAAGTTCAGAGTTATTATAAAACATCGTTCAATCTGATGATACCAATTACATATTTACTCATATATT